CCCCAGAAACCAATTTGGACTTCTCCCCAGAAAGGCCTTTACCCTCAGGGGCCAGAGTTGCCCGGGGACCAGGGACGAGATCCCTGCGACACTGGTGTGTGCAAGGACTCCGGGGAGTCGTGGAGGCCCCAGAGCATTTCTAGCTTTGACCCCGGCCAAGTTGCCAAGTTACTTAACCTCTTTCTGCCTTGGTGGTCTGTGAGGACCACAATGAGTTAATGCACCTAAACGGCTTAGGGTGTGTCTGGCAGCGCAGAGTAGGTCTATATACATGTTTGCTTTTTTTTTCTTTTTCCAGACAGGTTTGCCAGGCTGGAGTGCAATAGCTGGATCACAGTTCACGGAAGCCTTGACCTCCCAGGCTCAAGCGACCTTCCTCTCTTAGCCTCCTGAGTGGCTGGGAGCATAGGAATGCACCAGCATGCCTGGCTTTTTCTTTTTATCTTATGGTAGAGATGGGGGTCTCACTGTGTTGCCCAGGCTGGTCTTGAACTCCTGGGCTCAAGTAATCCTCCCGCCTTGGCCACCCAAATTGCTGGGAGTATAAATATGACTCACCGTGCCCAGCCCCTGTTTACTTTTACTATTTGAGCTTGTTTTCTTATCTATAAAATGGGCGAGAAAGGATGCCTGAGGTGGCCCTTGTCCAGCTTTCTCTCTGGTCCCAGTCTCTGGTTTTATTCCCTGGGAAGTTGCCCCCTAAGCCTTGTCACCTTGCCTGACTCTATCTCCCTGGGTTTTTTCCCCAGTAAGCAAAGAAAGATGGGGTTGGTGGGCTTCTCAGCTGTGTGTCCTCGGGTTTACCCCTTGGTGCCTGGGGGATGTGTGTCACAGGAGGGGGGAGTTTCCCTCCTCAGATGAATCAGCCGTGTGACCCGATCCTCATCCCTGCCAGAGCCCTTCCCAGCAGGCGGGAGTGGGGCGCAGCTGCCCCACTGGGAAAATCCCCCAAATCCTGCCAAAGCTCTTGGTGAAGCGTTCTCCTGACTCAGCTGTTTCAGTCCTCTTTGAGTCTGCCTGAGTTCCAACCGGAGTCAGGAGTTGGGCGGATTCTGTCCTTCCCTGGACAGACCCTCTGGAGCCTCCTCCCTGGAATCTGGGGGTTTGCAGCATGTGGGATGGGAGGAAAGGAGTTGATGGGGGGCCTCAGTCACCCTTCCTCTGGTTTTATAAAAGGAGCAGAGCACAAGGCCTGTCCAAGTTTGCCCAGCGCCCCCTGGGCCGAAGGCAGTTCCCTGCTCCAATGTAGGAAGAGGCCAGCCAAACAAGGCAGAACCCGCTGCCAGCCCCAGGGGGCGGGTCTTGGGGGGCCATTGACCTGGCAGGGGAGCAGTGCCCACTGTAGACCTGGAGACCCTTCCTGCCCGGTGTGCTTGGTCATTGCACTTTCTAGGCCTCAGTTTCTTCATCAGTAAAAAAGGACTTTTGGCCAGGCATGGCGGCTCATGCCTGTAATCCCAGCACTTTGGGAAGCCGAGGCAGGCAGATCGCCTGAGGTCAGGCCTTCAAGACCAGCCTGGCCAACATGCAGAAACTCCATCTCTACTCAAAATACAAAAAAATTAGCCAGGCATGGTGGTACTTGCCTGTAATCCCAGCTACTCAGGAGGCTGAGGCAAGAGAACGGCTTGAACCCGGGAGGAAGAGATTGTGCTCTATTGCACTCCAGCCTGGGCAACAAAAGCGAAACTCTGTTTCAAAAAAAAAAAGGACTTTTGGCTGGGAACGGTGGCTCACGCCTATAATCCCAGCACTTTGGGAGGCTGAGGCGGCGGATCAGCTGAGGTCAGGCATTCGAGAACCATGTGGTAAAATCCCGTCTCTCCTGAAAATACAAAAAAATTAATGGGGCGTGATGGCATGTACCTGTGGTCCCAGCTACTCAGGAGGCTGAGGCAGAATTATTTGAACCCAGGAGGAGGTTTCAGTGAGCTGAGATCATGCCACTGCACTTCAGCCTCAGCCTTGGTGACAGAGTGAAATTCTGTCTCAAAAAAAGAAAAAAAAAAAAAGGGACTCAGTTTTGGCCCAGCTTCTCTCCCAGGTGGCTCTGAGGACCCAACCTCCCACGTGCTTTAGAAACCAGATTCTGAGTCCTTGCAGGGCTCATCTATCTTTGCAGCCTCACCCCAGGAGCACTTCAATAAAGCGGGGGTTCACCAGTGCATTAGGAGCCCTGGAGGGGGGTGACCTGGGTTTGAATCTTGGCTTTGCCACTGACTTGCTTTGTAACCTCCAGCCAATTATTGAACTTGTCTGGACCTCAGTGTCCTCTTCTGCAAAACAGCAATAATAATAGAGCCAGGTGAAACTTAGATGAAATCATGTAGGTAAATGCTTAGCACCATGCCTGGCTCTTGTTATGAATAGAATGAGGAAACGGAGGCCCAAAGAGAGAGTGGCTTTAATTCACTCACTCATTTATTCAAGAATGTTCACTGGGTGCAGTGGCTCATGCCTGTAATCCCAACACTTTGGGAGGCCAAGGCGGGTGGATTAAAAGGTCAGGAGTTCGAGACCAGCCTGGCCAATATGGTGAAACCCTGTCTCTACTAAAAATACAAAAAAAAAAAAAATGTAATCCCAGTTACTCGGGAGGCTGAGGCAGGAGAATTGCTTGAACTCAGGAGGTAGAGGTTTCAATGAGCTGAGATTGTGCCACTGCACTCCAGCCTGGGCAACAGAGCAAGACTCCAAGTCAAAAAAAAAAAAAAGAATGTTCTGCTGGGTGCAGTGGTTCATATTTGTAATTCCAGCACTTTGGGAGGCTAAGGTAGGAGGATCGCTTGAGCCCAGGAGTTCAAAGTTGCAGTGAGCCATGATCATGCCACTGCACTCCAGCCTGGGCAACAGTGCGAGACCCTGTCTCAAAAAAAATGTTTACTTGGCATCTGCACTAGGCTGGGCCCTATGCCGGATGCTGGAGGATAACGCATAGCCACTGTTCTGAAGGCACCTGACACGCAGATGAGAGAAGCAGGCGGGTGGGAGTTGTGGGAGCCTCGGGGACATGCCTGGGACAGTTGGGGTGAGGAAGGTTGCAGGAGGATCCTGAAAAATTAAACCTGAGCCGGTGGGTTTGTGACATGGAACCAGGAAGGGAACTGGGCGAGGGTAAGCCAAGTAGAGGCTACGGCACAAGCAAAGGCGTGAAAGTGAGAAAGGCCAGCGTGCGTGCAAGAAAGTCACACGCGGCTTAACGTTCTTGGACAAGGAGTGTGAAGCAGGGAGTGGAAATTGGATGAGGCAGAAGGGTCTGGCAGGGGCTGAACCTGAGTCACCAAGTACTTCGTGTAATAATTTATGGAGTCGTTCTGGCTAAGCCCTGTGCTAGGCTCTGGGGACAGGGCTGAGATCTAGACATTGTTCTTACCTTCACGGAGCACAGTATGGGCATGGGCCTTAGGGGCCAGCAGGAGACGGACATCAATCAAGCCATTACACAAGTCAACACACACTCCTGCCATCAGGGCTGCAAGGCAGGTGTTCAAGCAGAAGGAACAGCCTGAGGCCCAGGGCTGCTCACCAGGTGGTGAAGGAAGTGCCAGCTGGCTCCAGAGGGGTGAGCATGGGCAGAAAGGGGTGGCCGAGGGAAGCGGGGGCAGTCGATGGGCACCAGGTCATGTCCAGTGCAGGAGAGTGGACTCTATTCTGCAGGCCACAGGGAGTCACAGAAGGGCTTTTGGCAGAAGGACATGGTCACTCTGCAGGAGGGATCTGTTGACCTGGCTGTGGAGAATGGAGGGGGACAAAGGGAGAGTGGAGGTGGCTTGGGAGATGGGTTGGCTGGGGCAGGGTACGGGGATGGAGAGGGACTGTGTGTGTGACACACTCAGCTACAGAAGAAGCCAGCGCTGTTGACCCCACTTGGGCATCTCCGCTGGATCCATGAGGTGCCTTGGCCCACTTTGGTCGAGTGCAAGGCACTGATGGACCACCCAGCTCTGGGGACTTCCCAAGGCTGGGCAGAGGGGGACTCAGACCTGGGGAAGCTCAGGGTGGGGAGGAAGCTGGAGAGAGCACTGAGCCAGCATCTCATGACTCAGCCACTTCCACCCAGTCAGCCCGGTGGCATCTCCGCTCCCCTGCTCTAAATTCCAATTCGGTGAGACTGCTGGAGGCTGAGTCAGCCCCGGCATGGCACGAGAGCTGTGTCCCAAGGGGCTCCCTGCCAGACACCCTGGCACCCAACCAAGACCAGGGCCAGACACAGGGCTGGAGAGGTGGAGGGGTGCAGGAGCCAGGCTCCGACAGCAAGTCCCAGCAGAGCAGGGCAGGCTAGTGAGATCACGTGGGTGAAAGGTGCTTCGTGCGTTGTGAAAACCTCAGTGAGTTTTCCTTGGTGAGCGCAGGGACCTCACTGCCTGAGAAAGGGAGTGGGATGCAAGTCTCACTCTGCCCACCTCATCATATGACACTGAGAACACTCCTTTCCCCTCTTGGCTTCAATTTCCTTGACCACACAATGGGGCCAACGTCTCCTAAAGAAGTTCTAATAAATAATACATATGAAAAGTGCTTTGCAAACTGTCCAGTGGGCCCTGTAACAGTCAGGGTGGTAGGGGAGGAGCAATGGCAGGCTTCCAAAGAGACCACTCAGGGTTGTGCAGGTTGTTCACTGCACAAGGATGTCCAGCCCAGGGTGTGGAAATCCAGCCCATCCTCTGCTCCCAAACCATATACCCCAGCCTAGGACTGCTTGGACTTACAGGGTTCCTTTCTCTAATAAGCACGTGTGCACCCTGAGGGCTAGCAGTGGCCCCTTAGATGTTCCTGGAGGAGTCAACCCCTGGAATTATGGGAAATCACTGAGAAATTGATTTGGGATGGAGGAGAAGTGGGGCTGCTTTTGCAGAGGTTCTAATGACAGGGCCCAGCCTCAGCAGTGAGGCACATCTTACAGCTAGAGGCAGCTATGAGGGTCTGGCTGGGTCAAGGGGGTAGTCTCTCCTGGCCCTGCCTCTCTCTAGCAACCAAAGCAGGTAACCACCAAGACAGTATTTTAAAAAACACTCAAGACACAGACCCAAGATGGGTTTTATTGAAATGCCAGGAGCAGGCACATGTCAAAGTAGGCAAGGAAGGGGTGACAGTGGTGGTGCAGGCCGTGTGAATTGGCAGGGATGGGCAGGTCTCATGTCCATGGCCCTGGCATTCCCTCTGCCAGGGGATGAGTAGGCACAACTACCCTCCCCCCAAAATGGCATGCTCAGGCCAGCGGGGCCCCTACCCTCTGGACCATGAAGGCTCCAAGGACAGGGGCTGGAAGCACTAAGTTTTCTCCCTTGTGAGGGGGAAGGAGACAAGGGGAGATGCAGGAGGAAGGGGAGGTATAGCGGGGATGAGCGTGGCCAAGGAAGGCTCTCCTAGGTGTCTGCACCCAAACCCTTGTCCTGGGCAGTGGAGAGGAGCAGCATTAAAAAGGGGGGCTGAGGGTTCGTCCCTCGGGAACCAGCGCGCCCCAGCCTGTGGGGGCTTGAGCCAGCCCTGAACAGAGGGCAGAAGTTCAAGCGGACTGAAGATTCAGGTTGCTCCCAAGCGATCTAGTCCCCAGAGCTGGAGGGTTGGCCTTCATGGGACAAGGAGGAAGACAGGAGGATCCATCCACAGCATGGAGGAGGCACAAGGCAGTCTCCCCAATTTGGCCCCTCTAGGTCAGTTCCACGTTGTTGGCACGGTCAAGCACTCGGGAGCCACGGGCACCACCCCCAAGCTGGAAACGGCTCTCATAGAGAGTGGGGCAGAGGTGCCAGCGGTTGGCCCGGTAGATGCCCAGGTAGGTGTAGACGTCAGGCTTGTAGGTGAGCAGGCACTTAATGCCCGCTGCACGGATGGCTGAATCTGCCTCCAGTACACCCAATCGGTCCGTGAAGTCGTCCGTGTAAACACAGATGACCTGGCGCCCACCCTCCTTGGCCCGTGGGCTCACCTTGGCCACCTGAAGCTGGCCTTCAACCACGGCCCGGGCAATGCCAGCCCAGGCGTGGTCCAGCTTGAAGCCCGGTGCCAGATGCATCAGCCACTTGCCCGAGAGCACATGGTGGGTGATGGCCAGCTGTCGCAGGGTACCTGGAGTGATGGGCCGCCCGCTCGTCTGCAGAGCTTCCCAGGCTGCCTGCAGGCCCTGGACGTCCCCGGAGTTGGGGCTGTAGCCGTGCCCATACACTGCAATCCAGCCCACAGGCTCTGAGTTGGGTGAACCAGGGTCCCCATAGCGGGTAACTTGGGATGGTGGGTACTTGGCCAGCCAGTCATCCAGCTCGGTGGCAGGCGTTGTTCGGGCATCAAACACTAGCCAGGGGTCCATGTCAGCTGCCATGGCCTCTGCAGCCAGGTGCTCAGCGGTGAAGCCATCCTCACGGCCACCTGGAGAGTCCTCCTCTTCTAGCTCCTCACCTGGTTCCATCCTGCTATGAGGGAACCCAGACAAGGCGGAGTCAGAGGCAGTAACTACAGGTGCTAGGCACGGGATTAAACTGTGGCCCTGGGTAAGAGTTACTGTCGATGCGCCTCAGTTGCCTCATCTTTACAATGGACCAATAACTGTTCCTGTCCCGTAGATCCGTTGTGAAAATTAGATACCTGAGGAGTGGGCGCTCCAGAAGGGTTGCTACAGTTATTACTATTCTCCTTGACTTATAGACAAGGCAACTGAGGCTCAGACAAAAAGGAATTGCCCAAGGTCACACCCGTAGTGTGTGACAGAGCCGAAAGGTGAATCCAGGCGCGGGAGCATCGCCCCAGCTACACCTCCCGGCCCTGGCAAGGTCCCCTTTTCCGGCAGGTATCCGGAGCGCTAGCATTTAACGGAGAGAGGCAGAGAAGCGCACGTTCGCGCAGCGCCGGAGGCCGGCTCTGTAGGGCCAGGCCTCCTGGGCAGGCGTCATCGGGGCCACTTAAAGACGACGACACTGAGGCCCAGAGAAGGCACGAGCCGGTCCGAGGCCAATGGGGCGGTGCCCGGACTCGAACCTGGACTTGTTAGAGCCTGCAGGAGCGCAGGCTCCGGCCTTGCCGCGCCCGCCGCCATTAGCGCCCACGGCTCGAGCCGCGCCCCAGCCCCGGCCCCGGCCCTGCCCCTCCCGCTGCCCGCAGTCACCTCCGGCCTTCGCTGCGTTCGACGCCAACCCAGCCCCGGGCCCGACTCCGCTCCTGCCGGTGTTCCGCGCCCCCGCCGCCGCGCCCCGCCCCCGCCACGGTCGCCGCTGCCGCCGCCGCCATCTTAGCGCCGCGCCGCCACGGGGCGGGACCGCCGGCCACAGCGCCGCACCGCGGGGCGGGGCCGACAGGGGAAGGGGCGGGGCCTGCGGCGAGGTGCTGCTCGGGGGGCGGGGCCATCGCGGGAACCCAGGGAGGGGCGGGCCGCGGGGGGCGGGGCCAACGTTCGCTCTTCTAGCCTTGCGGGCGGGCGGGAGCGGCGGTCCAGACCCGGGACGGACGCGCACAATCCGGGAGGCTCCAAGCAGAGGGCACTAGGGCCCGGCGAGCGGCGTCTTAACCAGCGGCGCTAGGACCCCGCGGGAAGCAGCGGGGGCGGAGCGGGCGGCACCAGGACCCGGGGGAACCGCGGCGGGCGGGCGGCGAGCAGGCCCGGGAGCCGGGAGGCTGCGGGCGGCGGCGCTGGACCCGACGCAGAGGGAGAGGCCTCGAGATGCCGAGCAAGAAGAAGAAGTACAACGCGCGGTTCCCGCCGGTGAGCACGTGGCAGAGCCCGGCAGGAGTGGGCCCTGCTCCCGGGAGGCTTAGGCCCAATTCCCGCTGGGGAGGCGGGCGCGCCGCGGTGTTCGGGGGCCTGGACGCCCCGCCCCCTCCGTGTCCTCTCCGCGTCCGCGTCCCCCGCCCCTTTTCTCCGGGGATGCCCCTTCCTCCCCCAGCATCCCCTTCGGGGACGGAGGCGACGGGGTCTGAACTCTGCTCCCCCACCTGCAGGCGCGGATCAAGAAGATCATGCAGACGGACGAAGAGATTGGGAAGGTGGCGGCGGCAGTGCCTGTCATCATCTGTATCCTGTCGGGGTCTGGCCGGGTCGAGGGGCGTGGGGGAGGGAGGCAGCAGGTCGCCCTCTCCCGCCCCCGCGTTCTCCTTGACGCCCCTCAGCCCGGGCGCTCGAGCTCTTCCTAGAGTCGCTGTTGAAGAAGGCCTGCCAGGTGACCCAGTCCCGAAACGCCAAGACCATGACCACATCCCACCTGTGAGCGGCGGGGCTGGCGCGGGGAGTTCACACGCGGAGGGAGGCAGAGCCTGGATAGCGAGGGAGGTGGGCGGTGGCTGGGACACTAGCGAGGCCTCAGACTGGTGGAGGAGGGGCTGGGCGTCCCGGCAGAGGGAGCCACCTGAGCAAAGGAGGGCAGATCTGGGGGTGGTAATGGGGCCTGGGTGCCAGTCTGACATCCGGGGCCCCTTGCTGTCACTCGTTGAGGGTCTGGGTGTCTGGGCCCCTCTTGAGTGCCAGCCCCTCCCCACCTCTTCCAGGAAGCAGTGCATCGAGCTGGAGCAGCAGTTTGACTTCTTAAAAGACCTGGTGGCATCTGTGCCCGACATGCAGGGAGACGGGGAGGACAACCACATGGATGGGGAAAAGGGCCCCCGCAGGTGCGCCCAGGGCCTGGCATACAGTGGGGAAGGCCAAAGCCACAGGGCTTGGGGGTGGCCGAGGAGTAGGGAGACCTCTGGGCAGATGGACTGTACCTTCCCAAAGGGGCCGGAAGCCAGGCAGTGGCAGCCGAAAGAACGGTGGGATGGGAACGAAAAGCAAGGACAAGAAGCTGTCCGGGACAGACTCAGAGCAGGAGGTGAGTGAGGCCCCAACCCTTCGGCCTGCCCTTGGTGATGGGACCGGCTGGAGGCTAGCTCTGCCCTTTTCTGTGACCTCTTTGTACCCTAGTTTCTTTGTAAATTGGGGCTATGAGGTCTCCAGCTGTCTGCCACTCCCAGTGATGGGCTCATGCCTTTTCTTGTCAACTCTGACCTCTGCGGTGCTCACAGGATGAATCTGAGGACACAGACACTGACGGAGAAGAAGAGACATCGCAACCCCCAGCCCAGGCCAGCCACCCGCCTGCCCACTTTCAGAGGTGAGCAGCCCAGAGGCTCGGGAGGGCGCTGGCAGACTCCCCAGAGCTGGCTAACCCCTCCTGCTTTTCCTGGTTCTTTGGTCTTGCTGACTGTGGCAGATTTGGGGGTGGGAGGAGAATAACTGAGGAGGGCTTGAAGGCAGGAGACTGTTCTTCCGAAAGATCCTGTCCCACCCTGCCAGCGCCCATGGGTGGAGCCTGGGCCTACCCTGCCTGAACTGCCTTGAGCCTTGGTCCCATGCATCTGGAGGGTGGTAGTGGGAGGGAGGATGGGGAAGGGAAGGTCTTGGCAGCTGCCCCTGTGGAGGGCAGGTGGGGCTCAGGCCTGACTCCCCCCTGCCTTCTGCCCTGCAGCCCCCCGACACCCTTCCTGCCCTTCGCCTCTACTCTGCCTTTGCCCCCAGCGCCCCCAGGCCCCTCAGCACCAGACGCAGAAGATGAAGAGGATTACGACTCCTAGCGCCCTCTGCCCCCCAGGCAATAGCCCCTTTTAGTTGGTTTTAGTTGCTCTGGGGGGAGGAGGGAAGGTAGAGCTGTTCTTGAATTTATTAAAAAAATTAATAAAAAGGGAATCATCAGTGTCTGTCCCAGGCTGTCTGGAGGATGTCATGGTTGCTGTCCCATCCCCCCACCTGTCTTCCCACATGAAACTGGGAGCTGGGCCTGGGTCAGTGGCAGGTGAAGCGGTAGCGAGGGAGGGAGGTGTCAGCTGGGGAGGCTGGAGGCCCTGGCTCTGTTGAGCAGCACCAGGGCTGCTGACCGACTGAAGGGACATGGGAGAGCTTGCAGGTGCCGGGCACTCGGGGGACATTGCTGACCCCCAGCAGGCTGCTGCCCTGCCCTGAGCAGCCTCTTGTCTCTGATGCTGCTGTGATGGCGTAAGTGGGACAGGGAACAGGAACAGATCTTGGAAACTGTAGAGTCCTGCGCCCGGTGCAGTGAAGGGCATGTGGGAAGGAGCAGACATACTGAGATTGTGCAGGGCCTTGAAGGTGGTTTTTGCACAGGGCAGTGACACAGTCTGTTCATCCAGATGTTTCAGAGCGGACCCAGGAGCTGCACTGCCCATAAAGCAGAGGTACTGGGTGAGGCTGGGGTAGGTGCAGGTGGCCCATGTGGGGCCTCCTGGGGCCCGGGAGACATTCAGTTTTAAAGGTCTACTGGCACGATGGCACATACCTGTGGTCCCAGCTATTCAGGAGGCTGGGGCCGGAGTTCGAGGCAGCAGTGAGCCATGACTGCACCACTGCACTCCAGGCTGGGCCAACAGAGCATTACCCTGTCTCAAAAAGAAAAATCTCAAAAAAAAAATGTATGTATGTATACTTTGTTTCTTAACAAACTCACTGGCTTTCTTGTGGGCACTAGTGGCAGCAGAGAACCAACAGAAGTCTGGGTGAGGGTGATGGCAGCTAGAGCAGGGTGAGGTAGGGGCACAGTGAGCGGTGGGCAGGCTCGAGTCTGTGCTGGCCTCGGCCTTGAGCATGGAGATGGCTGGCCTGGACATGGAGGTTGAGGGGATTGTTAAGGGTGACCCCCGGGTTTCTTTCTGCAGTGGCTTTGGTGGGCAGGGGCTCCTTCCCTGCTGGGGGCCACAGGGAGAAGAACAGGATTCGGCCTGAAGATCACAGTCTGGCTGTGATGAATCAGCCGCCGATGGGAGGTGCCTAGTAGATTCGTGAACGTAGCGAGACAAAGATGCATGTGAGCCTCAAAAGCAGGTGACCTCGCTAAGCTGGGGTGCTGGAGCAGGTCACCCAGGGAGACGAGGGTGGCCAGAACCCAGGCCACCCAGGATCCATACTGGTGCCCACCCAGGTGTGTGTGGCAGCAGGGAGAGGTCAATTATCAGACGCCGTGGACAGGAGGTGGTACCTGCGAGCTGCCCCTCAGCTTTCCTGGAGCTTCCGCCAGTACTGCTTGGGCCTTGGTAGTGGTTGTAGGGGGCAAGGGGGTTAGAGGTGAGAGACCCTGAGGCATGTGAAAGCGGTACTTAGAGATCCCAACCAGAGACCGCTTAGAGTAAGGGGCACAGGAGTGGGGGGTGGTTTGTTTATTTAAATATATATATTTATATTATATGGTAAATATATATAAATTTCCCATACTATATGGATGTATGGGGGTGGATTTTAGATGGCAGGAATGTAAGCCTTTAGAGAGAGAGTGGCTGCAGGAACAGGATGGGAGAGAATTGATAGGGTGAGGTAGAGGAACCTCAGGCCAACCCCAACCTGCCAAGGGATAGGCAGTGAGTGGGTTTTGGGGAGAGGATTGAGGTAACATTTTTTTTTTTTTTTAATTTGAGATGGAGTCGCTCTTTCACCCAGGCTGGAGTGCAGTGGCTTGATCTCGGCTCACTACAGCTTCTACTTCCCGGGTTCAAGAGATTCTCCTGCCTCAGCCTCCCAAGTAGCTGGGATTACAGGCACCCTCCACCACTCCTGCCTAATTTTTGTATTTTTGCTAGAGGCAGGGTTTAGCCATGTTGGCCAGGTTGGTCTCAAACTTCTGACCTCAAGCGATCCGCTTGACCTCGCCTCCCAAAGTGTTGGGATTACAGGCGTGAGCCACCTCGCCCAGCCAGAGGTAACACTTTTTTTAATTTAAATTTGTTTGTTTTGTTTTGTTTTGGAGCTAGGGCCTCTCTTTGTTGCCAAGACTAGCATGATCATGGCTCACTGTAGCCTTCTGGGCTCAAGGGATCCTCCCATCTCATCCTCCAGAGTAGCTGGGACTATAGGCGTGTATTGTTTGTGTGTACATGCACGTGTGTAGAGATGAGGTCTCATTATATTGCTCTGGCTGGTCTCGAACTCCTGGTCTCAAGTGATCCACCCACCTTGGCCTTCCAACATGCCGGGCTTACAGGCGTAAGCCACTGCACCTGGCTGGTCTTTGCAGTTTTTATCTTCCCAGATCTCTGATTTCTCTGTGAAGCAGGGGGCGGGTCTCCTTCCCTGAGTGAGGGGCCCAAAGAAGAAGAAGATGGGTTGAAACAGCCAAGGCTGATGAGAGGGTCAAGGATTTGAGGCATGGAGAGGGGACAGCCCTGGGGAGCTGGAAACTGGGCATCTGCGGGCCTTGCCTGCCTCTTCACGCCCGCTTTGGTCACAGTGCCTTTGGTTTCCTTTCGGGAACCACCTCTTCTCTGCTGG